GCTCTCAAATGTTGGGTGTGCTCATCTTCATTCTTAGAATAAATTTGTATATCATCGATGACGATGATAACAAAATGGTCCAAAAAAGACTTGAAGAGTTTATTCATCAAGTCTATGAAAGCAAAAGGGGGCATTAGTCAACCCAAATGATATATTTAAGAAGCCTTACTATATGTATGATTAATTTACATTCCCTTGAATACAAGGTTTACAGAGTCTCGTATGTTGAGGCAAGAATGATTGGCATCGAGATTGAAATGTTTGGCTACTTATTCTGATTTAATGGATGATTACTTATTAGGGAAGAAAAGTTAGGAGCTCATTTCTCACTATTCATTAATATGATTTAAATATTAATAATGTATTATGAAATGTATATATTTAAGCATGGTATTTTGTATGAGTCATATTCATATGATGTAATAGTTGAGCCTTACTATCAAATTTATAGCGTAAATTTTTAAAAAATAATATGTACTGTATTAGAACTATTGGAAAAACATACTACAAATACAAATTACGAATTAATAATGATAACATTTTTTATTATGTAAGCTTTAATTTAGTATGATATTTTATAATATGTTCTTATATGTATTATGCATGTATTATTCGCTAAACCCTTTTATATATTGATTGGTCGGATCAACAGTCTACAAATGATGTCTTTTTGAGAAATCATTAAATTTTCATGAGACTAATACATATCTTTCTAACTTCAAGGTGTCGTAATAAACTGATCACATATTTACTTGAAACATAGAAAGAAGAATGACATATGACCGATAAGTCAATTTTGAATATATAAATCTTTTATGCTTTTAATTGGATGTATCTACATTTGAAAGCAATGAATGCTTCCATAGATTATTTTATACCAACTTTATTGTGTAATAATCAATATTATATGATAATGTTATTTGATATCTTTTATAGATTGCCTATAACAATTATGGTATATTGTTTATTTTTATAATAAAATGTCTTAAGTTTAGTGTTATTAGAAATCAAAAACTATAATATTATAAAAAAAATGCAAATGGTTGACTTCCAATGATAAGCCTAAGCTTTTATGTTAAAAATAGATTAAACCAATGATATATTCGTTAAAGCATTTGTCCAATTCATTTCTTAACATGTTAATAAAGGAAGTTCCAATAGGACACATTGAAGATAAATGATTCATGAAGCTGAACCCACTTAGAGGGATAAAGGCTTTGTTATTGTTGTTGGCAATAAAGAAGGTTTGTCTGTGTGTACATCGAGAACATGCCAGCACGAATCTCGAGGAGATCCATGGATAATGAGATAGAAAAGTACAACTAAGGAGGACCCACTGGCGTGAGACCAAATGACCCACTTGACCAGATGCAACCCTCTGAACTAGGGCTAGAGGTCGACCAGGTATAGACCACCTGAACTCAAGGGAGGAGTTCAGAGGCATCGATTTGCATATCATTGCAACCAAACTCAAGGGAAGAGTTCAGTATCACCAACTGTCACATGGACGCCACTGAGATTCCACATCAGAGTCCAAGAAGTGGTAATAGCATAACCCACAAACATCCCAAAGATCCATAGATCAAGAGATTAAGGCCCCGTTTGGGACAGCTTATAAGTGCGGGCGGACGGTTTTGAACACTACATTCCCCAATTTTAGACCGCGTTTTGAAAACGGGGTATTTTATTCCTTAATAAACGCTAGCCGCGGGATCAACCCCGCGGTCCGCGTTTTTGCAAGCGACTTTACCCAGCTGCCCTCGTCTCGTCTCCTCAGTTTCTCGCGATCGATCCTTCGCTCTCCCATAACTCCCATGGTGTCATCATCCTCCATAAACTTTTATTTCGCTAGTTTCGAGTAGGGGGGTCTCTCCCTTCCATGGCTCCACGCTTTCTTTACTCCACTTTTTCTTCTCATCTCCATTCCATCCTTCTCCCATGACTCTCTTCCATCTGAAGAGCTAAGCTCTTGTTATTCAATTTCTCCAGCCTTTCAAGTAGGGCGGCTTTCTTTTGTTCGCATCATTCTCTGATGGATGACGATCTAGGTCGGACTACGATTACCGGTAAGACCATAAACTTTGCAGAGCAGAAGAACACTGACCCCCAGGTATTTGGGTTTTTTTTTTTTTGACTTTTTTGAAGAAATTAGGTATAAATAGTGTTTTTATTGGCTCCATTTTGGTAATATTCAAAGTTTTCATTGGATTCTTTGCTTGTGCTCTGCTTTGGTTCATGCTTATTGTTTTGCATTTTGATCTGCTTGTTTTAGGTTCTTGCTTGATGCGAGGCTTAGGTTTTAGATCTTCTTGCATTGCTTCTTAGCTTTACTGTCAAGTGTGTTTGATTGAAATCTGTTGTTCTTTTCTTCTTCTTATTTAAAAGAAAAAATGTTGATGGAAGAGATCAGGGAAGAAAGAAATGGTTATCTTATTTTGTGTACAATTTAAATTTAAATTTTGCCAAATATTATTTGGGTGATTTCACAGGAAAACATCTTATTTTTAATTTCACTAAGTTCATTCTCTTTAAGGGTAATAACTCGGAAGCCACTGTTTGCTAGTTTTTATATACATATATATTATATTTGGAGTTGTTAACTGCTTAGAACAAGGCCTAGTTGGGATCTTGCGACAACTGGGCTATCTCTCAGAGACAGTGATACTCTACTAGTGCATATTATGTCACTTTCAATTTGACCCGTTTTACTTGCCTTAGGTCAGTATTTTTCAAATTTTTTATTATGGATGAAGCACAAATTAATCAAATCTGCATTGTTGTTCTCACCCTTACATTGCTATACCATTACTACCATGCATATATTGATTGAAACCCATGCATGACACCGAGTAATATTGGAGATAAATGGGTCAGAAAGTTATTACGTGGTCACCTGACACATTTTGCAAATTAGAATCAGCTGTTCTCAAAACGCATTAACCAAACAATCGGACAGATCATCCGGATCAGCTGCTCATCAGCAGATTATCAGGATAAGTTGTTTATCAACAGAAGCTGGATAAGCTGCAGCTGCCCCAAACAGACTCTCAATATCTATCAGATTTTGACGATTCACTCTCTGCCTGATAGCCAAGTCTCAGTCAGCTAATAGGAGCTCATCAACCAAGGATCAACGATTGACAGTCAGGCTAGAACAATCAATCGGAGAAAGCAAGTCGATCAAGCCAGACTTGCTGACTTGAAGATCATCAAAGGTCAACCGGCAACCCTGATCCAGCATAGTCAGAGGAGCAGGTCTTGCCAAACCAAGGCCCAATGATTTCACTCGATTTATTCAAAGGGTAATCGAGCCATAGGTCCATACGTGTGTAATACCCAAAATATCATGTAAGCCCCACTAAAGCAGGAACAAACATGTAACTTCACATATTATACCCCTCCTTTATAAAAAGAGTTATAAGGGCATTTTATCAGAAAGAGCTAATCAATAAAATAGATTACTGTTCATTATTGTGCACTTCCCTCTCTCTTTCTCTTTCTTCTATCTTACGTTCTATTCCTTCAGTGTTATTCACAGACAGATTCAGATTCAACACTATGATAACATGATTTATAAAGTTTGAGACCCTCATAAAGCTTAGAATTTTCACCATTTTGGCTCCTAAATCTAAGCTAAAATTATCAAAACATACAAGACTTTGAAATTAGTCTCATATCATTATACTAATAATAATAATAAATATCAAAACAATCAGTTTTCAATCATAAATTTATGTTTTCAAGTTAAAATTAAATTTGATTGATGGTATATTTGACATGGTTTTAAGGTCTCTTTGATTCTTATTTTCTAACTAGTGAATGTAATAACTATCTCTCAATCTCCATAGGAAAGATAAATCATAAGTTCTTGGTAGGAATGATCAAAGCTTGGATTTAGTTTAGCTTTAGGAGCCAAAATGAAAGAAGAACAAATTTTTAAAACAAAAAAGTTGAAAGCAGAAATCAGATGTGGAAGCAAATCGGATGAAATAAAAAATGAAAATTTACATATATATCAATTCTCTGTATTTACACATCTGATACCTAAGCTTCAATTTTTACATATGTCACCTTGCTCAAACAAGAAAATGTGTATTTCATTTTTTTATTCAAATTAAAAATAGTGATATTTTTAATATGATATGAAACATTTGGATGGTATAAATGTAAAAAGTAAAATATGGGTGTTAGATACACAAATACATTGGAATTGGAAGGTATGTATGTATTGAAAAACTCTAAAGAATCCCCTTCCAAATTCACCATGAAATAGAATCACATAGAATTAAGAAAACCGGAACAAACTTACGAACAGATGCATAACAAAAGCAAAACAGAAAAACACATTAGAATTTAACGTGGAAACCCAGAGAACAAAAAAAAAAACACGGAGTCACACCATCAGAAAAATTCCACTATGAAAATTAAAGAGTTTACAAAGAACACACTGAAAAAATTTATAATAGCACACTCCAAGCTCTTCCTTCTCTAATCCGATGCGAGATACACAAGTCGAAATCACTGAAGTCCTCCTCTCAAACACTTCTCATTTTCACCGGGATCTTTGTCAAAGAATTCTCCACATAGAGAAACTTCACGCACTAAAGATATACATTCATCGCTAGAATTTTGGCACTTGGCTTCGGTTTAGATCTCACACTTAGTATTGGTCCTCTGTATATGCACCTTTGTCAGGATCACCTTCATAGTCACGTACCGTGGTGTGGCTCAACCTCGGTCTCAACCTTAATGAAATCCAATTGAAGCCAAGCATAGCTTCAGTTTCTTAACACTCTTCACCTTCGTCAACATATCCACAAGATTTTGACACAAGAATTTAATGTGGAAAAACCCAAGAACAAGGAAAAATCACTAAGCAACACCACCAGAAAAATTCTACTATAAAAATTAGAGAGTTTGCAGAGAACACACTCAATTTCCTTTCGACATTCAAGGAAGCATACAATACCTCGCTACAAACTCTTCCTTCATCGATCCAACGCGAGAAACACACGTCAAGATCGTCGAAGTCCTCCTTTCCGAAACTTCTCACCTTCACCAGGGTCTCTGTCGAAGAGCTCCCCACATCCAGGAACTTCAAGCACTAAAGAGATACATTCATCGATCTAATTTTGGCATTATAAACCAAAAAATTATAGGATAACTACTCCAGGCACAAAGGCGCTCGAACTTGGGCGCGGGAGCGCCGGTGCCTTGAGTAATTAGCGCCTAAGGGCACAAGTGCACCCAACACATCCCCTGTTCATCTATTGTGCCTAGTGTGGGCACTTGAGCTCCCACAACCCCATGCGCTCAGTCCTGAGAGTGCAGGTGCTTCAAATCAGACTCCATCTCCTAACAGTATGTAAATGCCCCAATAGAAAAAACACATCTATCATTTGGATTTATCTAGAAAATATCATATGCAACGTAATTGAGATAATTAACACAACACTTCAAATGTGTGAAAAAATATACAAAAACCTTTTAAAGTGAACTTATATTTACGCATTTTCTTAATTAACATCATTAGAAGCATTTGATATGTCATCAATAATTCATACATTTGATTTCAAATCTCTTAAAAAACTTACTACTTATTCTTATAATTAGAATCATTCATTGTAAAATCTTAATGAGGGGCATTTGCATACATACCACACTATTTATTTGTATTTAAATACTAAACATCTAAACTTTTGTAATTATTACATTGATAACACTCAACCACTAAAAGTATCACTACTACTTATTTTTTAAAAGTGAAATATGTCTTCTCATACATAGGTAAACTGTTATAAATGTAAAAATCGAAGTTTACGCATTAGATATGTAAATATAATGTAATTGTGATACAGTTATATGAAAATTTAAATGGGTGAAAAACAACAATTCTCCTCCCAAAAAAATAGAAAAATTCAGACTAAGCACAATTTAGCTTATCATAACAAAAAAAAGTAGAAAAATGATAAACCTACATGCATGATGAACTATCAAAAAATACATGACCATAAATGGTTACCTTACAAGTTACAACAACATTAGAATTTTAAAAAAAATGAGAATGATGGATTAACAAATTAATAAACATAAAAATCAAGACTTACCTCACATTTTCTTCCTCACAGGTAAGCTTCCCTGGAGGACACAGCAATTAAATAATTGAATAATAGACCGTTGATTCAACATCGCTTTCATTCACATAATTCTTCTTCCATGTTGATGAATGTTTGATTTAGATACTACCATGCCGGTTAAATTAATGAAGAAGGATTCCTAACACAAATAAATTGTATCATAAATTCAGGTTTAATGCCACAATTAAAAGCAATTTCCTCTTTCTCTATCGGCATCAATCATCAGGTTTTCGTTAGATATTCCATAAAATTAAAAATTAAATAAAAAAAAAACTTTTATGGTGAAGTGCTTACCATCTCGAAGGGAGAAAGGCGGTGAAGATAAAATCCTTCCAATCTTCCACTGCAATAGGTTGGGAAAAAAGAAAAACAACAAAGTTACAAAACACCAACTCATGGTTTCCCGGCCAAAAAATAAAAAAGAGAGTGCAAATAGAAAATGTTAAGGCACCTAAACCTTTTGATGGCTAAAAATATATATTAATGTAAATACTTTAAGTGGGTGACCATCACTCATATGCTTAAGTTCTAAGATAAAAAAGAATTTAATCTTCAGTGTATCCAACTCAACTTTAGTTTCCTTTTATATCATTAGGATCGAGTGGCTCATAAAATTTATATCTCCATAAGATATTGATCGGTTTTTCACCATGGTTGAGTAAAGTTCAAGAGGGAATGACGAGCTCTTATGTGCGAGCGAGATTGTTAAAAAAAGTGTAACAGTGAGTTTTGATTTCACATTGATTAGTTAAAATATGTTGGTATAGAAATATAAAATGGTTGGCCCTCTTCCACCATAAAAAAATTGCATTAGAGCGCAAGGCATGCATAAGATTAAGTGGTTCACAAGGTTTGGTTAGGCAAAGGTGAAGAGTGGGTGACTTCCATAAGTAATCCAAATGGTCGAGTGATTTTTTGTGTATGATACTTGTAAAGGCTTCCAATTGGTCAAGATAAATGGCTAATAAAGGAAAGTGCCAAAATGCTCCCCATACTTTTTTTAGAGGTGTATTTTAATTCTAGAATCTATAAAAGTGTTAATTTAGTCCCCACACCTTTTTAATGGGTTCTAAAATAGTATTCTTTGGAAACTAATTCAGCCTAAATTAAAAGTTTTTTTTGGACTAATTTGACAATTCTATAAACTCTAGGACTGAAATGACCCAACATAAATAATTAGGGGACTATTTTGACACTTTACTCATGAATAATATGATGAGCTCTAATGTTAAGGCGATATTGTCAAGGCACTTTGAGCTTAGTCCGATATCAGATAGGTAAAATGTACTGTTATAAAAATATCAAGAGATTGAATCTCACCCATACACTTCATAGATTGAAAATGTTTGATTGTTGGTCAATCTTTTATAACCCGTTTAATGCACTCTTGGACACAAAATAATATGGAGAAGTCCTCACCTAGCAACATTAAAGTTTCCATTTTCTGAGTAAGGAATTTGCTCTTGATGCATAGGACCAGGGTTGCCCAAGAAAGCTATGCCTCCACTGTTATAATGCTGCCCAGCACAACCCAGCTTGCTTATGTAGGCATTCTGCAGAGTTTTTCATCAGAAGTTATTAATCGCATGTATTATGACCATGATAAATTAGAAATACAAAGAAAATGATTAGACTCTGCCTACCACTCCATTATTCAGAAATATTTGATGAAGTGGCCGATAAAACACTATGGACTTCTGCTCATGTATCTCTTGGCAGGCCATTAGTGGATGAAATCCTACAACTATGCGCCTGAATGATTTTGATTTTGGCAAGAGATTAAAAACAAAGGAACTTCTTAAAGAGGTATAATATGAAAGCTAAGGAGTAAAAAACTATTAAAAAGTATTGCAAGTGAAAAGTTATTCCTCCTGTAAACATGAAACCCTAAGATCATAATATGAAAAAAATAGTTTATAAAAACTGATTATCAAAAGGTGAAACAAGAACCGGTTTTATTTGTCATTCGAAGTTACATAAGAGAGCTAAAGTCTAATATTTTATGATCAAGTTAGATGGAACAAGGTGAATATAAGGCCATAGTAAAAGATGCAATCTCAATTAAAGAAAATGATGCTCCTTTAAATAAATTATTAAATGAGAATTGTGAAAGATGAATCCATTTATTAAATTGATTAAAAAAGTGAGCTTAAATGTTAAGAAGATTAAGATAATTAATTTTCCTAAAAGATAATGTAATCCCAATATGAGATAGATTTAAATATATTAGGCCAATGAAAAATAAGGAAATAACTTCTAATCATGCTATGTGAGTGAAACAAAAAGTTCCAAAAAGAATGTCATGAAAACTTACAAGAAAAATTTATAAAACTTAAATCAAGTTGGTAATATTCTATAAATCTAAGCTTAAGCAATTGGAAAGCTGAGAAGTTCGGCTCTTCTCCATGGTGGGTCGATCGGTTGCTTCACAAAATCATGGAAATATTTGATTGAGGGTATCTTTGGAAGCACCTTTCCTAATTTTATTCTTGATAAGCCACCAATAATTTTTCATTATCCGGCACGAATCTGTGCATCAATCGAAAAATGGGACTAAGGTTGTGTGCATCAATCGAAAAATGCTTCGACTAGATCGGCATCGCACTCTTTTGAATCGGTTGTTCGAATCATTATTTCGTCTGTGGCGCATGTGTTGTTTGCGCCGTATGATTCATCTGCATGTCGTCATCTAAATCACTCATCGATATCGCACGTTTACTTATTGCGCATCGACTCCGTTTAACTGCACTGTTCGAAGCTTCCACAACAAAGTTAAGTTTCCTCTTGTTCCATTGCATCGCCCGCTTCTTTGGATCACTTGACCTCAACAGGATCACTCATCTGCGTCGTCCTCTCGTTTGGATCTCCTCCTCCAGCTGTAAATCTCCTGTGTCATCTCGGGAACTCACCCCTGCAGGCAGCCGGAACTCTTCCAAAGCCAAATTTTCTCCATTCCTCGGCTCTTCCATGTGGCAGGAAGCCTCCCTGATGTACGCCTTTCCACTGTAGACTCTTTATTTGCTCTTTCATACAGCAGAAATTCTTCCTGCTATAATTTCAATAAGAATTGTCCGTACGAGCCCTCCTTTGTTCCTTTCTACTGCCGGAACTCTCTTTGAAATAGAAATTAGTCCTGCTACAGGCCCTCCTCCACTGGGATTCTTTCAGCCGATCTACAGGCTCTGCGCCAGAGCCACTTCTCCTCTTCTTGGCACTAGAATTCTCCCTGCAGAATCCATCTCTTCAATTTCTGCAGTCAGAACCTTCCTGGCAGCAGACCCTTCTCCAAATTCTCTCTGCAAGCACCTTTTCTGTCAGAATTCTCCTATCCCGCAACAACAACAATATACGGGTTTATGATCAGATAAATATGTCAAGTTTTACTTAGGAGGTTAATTCAAAGACCATGAATTATGTCCAGTCAACTTCTAAACTTCTGAAAAAACTCCTTGAGGGCAATTTAGAATCGCACAACAATCTCTTGTGTAACACCAAAGTAATATATTATTCTCCCGTCTCACTAATAATGTAAGATTTAGAACTAGAAGTATAGATTCAGGAGCATCCGATCATATGCCCGGAAACACCAATACTCTAGTCAACTTTCAAGAGGCTTATACATTTAGAACAGTCAGACCTACAGATGGCTAACACTAAATAAATGTTGGAAAAAAAGATGTAGAGCTCTCCCAAGATATTACTATTCTCTCTGCTTTATGTTTCACATTTGGATGCAATTCAGTTTCAATCAGTAAGCTTATTCATAATATGAAATGTATAACTAAATTTCTTAAAAATTCTTGTGAATTTCAGGTGGTAGAGTCGAGGAATGTGAATGACAGTACTAAAATGCATCAAGACTTATACTTAAGGAAAGTCTCTCCCTCCAAACACAAATAATTCCAACTCCATTTTTATCTCAAATTTTCCTAGTCTATGTCTGTCAAAAAATAAATTATATTATGACATTGTTGTCTGGGTCATACTAGTTTCAATTATATTACAAAGTTGTAGGCTCATTTATTTATCAATGAAAACCATAATTTTTATTAATATGAGATTGATCACTAGAAATAGTTGTCCTATGACCCAATACAAACTATCACACCATTTGTCCATCATCTCTAATGATATTTTGGGAACTTTAAAGATGAAAATTCTAAGTAAGGCTAGATGGTTTATCTTATTTGTTGAAGATCACAATTGAACTACTTGAGTATCCCTATTAAAGAAGAAATTTGAAATAACCCAAATCTTTCATAATATGATTCAAACTCAATTTCAATACAAAATTCAGATCCTCACAACTAATAATGCAAATGAATATTTCAATTACATCCTTGGGTCGTATCTTTAAAAAAATGAAATCAACTATGTGTGTTTATGTTTTGGTACCCCAAAATAAAATGAGACAACTAAAAGAAAGAGCAGGCATTTCCTTAAGGTATCATCATTAATTATGATTTCCATCAAGTTTCAAAATATTTTTGAGAGGAGACAATCCTTATCAATAAAAAGTCAAGCCAAGAACATCAAAACACCTCTTCATGTCTTGATGGCTACTTATCCTCACATCAGAGTTTTCTTTTCTACTATACTGTCTAAATTTTTTGGGTGTGTATCTTTTGTTTACATCCATTCCCAAAATTGCATAAAATTTGATTGTAAATCTTTCAGGTGTATTATTTTAGGCACGCCATTAATAATACGGGGTATAAGTGTTATTCTTATTTTTTCAAAAAAGACTACAACTCCATGGATGCCACATTTTTTGAAAAATCGTCCTACTACTCCAAAATTGCATAAAATTTGATTGTAAATCTTTCAGGTGTATTATTTTAGGCACGCCATTAATAATAAGGGGTATAAGTGTTATTCTTATTTTTTCAAAAAAGACTACAACTCCATGGATGCCACATTTTTTGAAAAATCGTCCTACTACCCCAAATTTGATATTCAACGCAAGAGTAGAAATGAAGGTCAATTTTGAGATGTATTTGATGACACCTACACGATCTCACTACCTACTACACCTAACCTTCATATCCTAGTTGAGGATGCACAACCAATCCAATAAACCCAACTTGAAGTCCATCATAAAGTACTTCATGCGTACACAAGGAGGAAGAAAAATCTTCATGTAAGACAACTTGCAATGACATAATTGCTTACACTAAAACCCGAGTCTATGTCACCTGAAATTTTGGGTAAGGAAGAGTTTAATACTCATGAGTTAAGTACTGAAGCATAATGACACAAATTCTTACTAAACATCATTGGGATAAGAAGTCAGTTGGATGCAAACGAGTATTCAACATTAAATACAAAAATTTCACTCAAGCCAATGAGATTAACTATTAGGAGACCTTCACGCTAGTTACCAAATTAAACACTACTATAGTTCTCATTTAAGTAGTAGCTAATGAGGAAAGTGCAGTGCATCAACTTAACATAAAAAAATATTCCTAAATGTGGATCTGGAAGAAGAAGAAGTCTATATGGAGATACCACCAGGACTTGAGAATGATTCCAACAAACACCTAGTATGCAAACTCAGGAAGTCTCTCTATGCGCTTAAGCATTCATCAAAAATGTGGTTTAAAAAGTTTGCTAACACTATGAGATCTAATGAATATTCTAAAGGTCAAGCTAAGCATACTTTGTTCATAAAATACACTCAGGGAGATAAGAATGTTTCACTAATAGTATATGCGGATGATATGATTTTTACTAATGATGATGAAAAAGAGATTCTCAATATCAAAGAAGTGTTTGCCACTGTGTTTGAAATCAAAGTCCTAGGAATCATGAGATATTTTTTAGGAATGAAGGTAGCAAGGTACAAGAAAACATCATTATATCGTAAAGAAAATATATCCTGGATGTAAGTTTGCTAATACTCCAATGGTTCTTAATAAGAAGTCTAATAAGGGAGAAAAAATTGTATATGTGAAAAATAAAGATATCAAAGATTAGTAGAAAAACTCATCTACCTATCACATACAACGCCAAATATTATATACTTTGTCAGCATTGTGAGCCAACATATAACTAATCAAGATGAAGAGCATTTTGAGATGATATATAGAATTCTGAAGTTTCTCAAGAAAACTCTTGATTATGGATTAATTTTTGAAAGAACCAAAAGCAACAAGGTAGAAGTCTACACTGATACGAGTTAAGCTGGGGAACTCACGAACAGAAGGCCTACCACAAGTTATTGGTCCCATGTATAAGAAAATCTGGTTAAATGAAGAAGAAACAAGCTGTTGTTTCTGGAAGCAATGTTGAATCAGAGTATAAGGCACTTGCCTTAAGAATCTATGAAGGGATTTGGATTTAGAAAATATTAAATGTATTGAGGTGCATCTCCAATAGGACTATACAGATATTTTGTGGCAGATAAGTATCAAATAGTATTGCCAAGAATCCAGTGCATATATCATGACAGGACCTAACATATTGAAATTGATAGACACTTTATCTCTGAAAGGGTTAATGGTGGAATTATAAAACTAAGCTATGTCCTGACCCACCAACAAGTTGCTGCTCTTTCTTTAAGCACCTTCTCAGAATTCAATACCAAGCTTGGTCTCTACAACATCTACGACCCAGCTTGAGGGGAAGTGTGGAAAACTGAGAAGTTTGACTCTTCTCCATGTTGGGTTGGCCGGTTACTTCACAAAATCATAGAAAGATTTAATTGGGGATATCATTGAAAACACCTTTCTTAGTTTTATTCCCTTCCTAGTTTATGTTTCTTTATTTTTTTATTTCATAATTATTTTATTTCCTAATTTAAACTAGATATATATGGTAAGTTTGCAATTTATGAGGGATTGATTTTACTATATATACGTACCCTACATATGAATAATAAAGTGAAGTAATTTTTCCTCTTCAAATTTATTTTCCACAAGCAAAGATGAATATATGGAGAAAAATGATTCATGTAGCCGACCCTACGTAGTGGGATTAAGGCTTTGTTGTTGTTGCTGTAAAGATGAATATATTAATTGCTAACTTAAAAGAGGAAAAGATGGATGCAAGACAAAGCTCCATTTTTATCAAATATAGGAACAAAAACAAATTTCTAAATATACAACAATATCAAAGCATTCAAGCAACCAATTCTTATTGGCGTTAGCCTTTGGAAAGTTATTTCCTCCATGTTGCGATTTATTTTAAGGAAAAACATCAAATACAATTAAATGTTATCAAAATTAAAAAAAAAAACATGCATTCTAAGAGAGCTTTCATAATAAGCATTGTAGTAATAAGATAAGAAATATACTGGAAAATTTTAACATTTCATTAGTATTCTTAACCTTATTCTAATTATTTTCAACAAGTTAAAACTAATCACTAAAATGTTTCTTATTTAATCTTTTGGCATTCTATAAATTATTAAAAAAATTATTAAAAAGATTTATTAATGAAAATGTTGTAAAAATATATCCTAAAACTCTTTAAATCTAATAAATATCTCCATATATCTCAAATGTTATCTTTTGTTGTCTTTTAAAACTAACTCAACAAGAGTTATTAGATCAATGAGTAACATAAATCACAATTCTAATTATTTTGACATTTAATTTTGTTTCCCTTAGAACTCTTAGTTCTTATTGCTCAAAAGAGCTTATTGTCAAATTTTTACTTCATTCTTAATGAATCTAATTTATTACAGTATTGAGATATTATTTCTTGTTGAAGCCATTTTATATACCTCATTTTCTATATTCTAAGCACCTGATCTGCCATGCAAGCTTTAAAGAGCTGTAGCATTAATATTGACTGCAATCATCTCTCAAAACTTCATGCTTTCTTTTAATTGATTATATTACTAATTATAACTTATACATGCATACCACACAATTCTTCTATATTTACATATTTAACACCCAAACTTTATATTACATGCATACTACTCAATATTTGGCATTACATCAAAAATACCACTATTACTAGCTTTTCAAAATTGAAATACACATTTTCATGTTTAGGTTTTAACATCGAATTGTTATACATGTAAATACCAAACTTTAGGTGTTAGATATATAAATGCATAAGAATTGTGTGGTATGCATATAAAAATCCCAAAATAAATAACTTCTAAATTTTGATGTATAACTATTCAAATAATCATATCTCCTTTCAAATAAAAATAGATTGAACTCTCTATGTATATAAAGGAAAGAACTTGGAACTTTTGACTAAAGAAACAAATGGTATCGGAATAAAGGCTAAAACTGCATCCACAATAAACATAAGCATCCAATTCATCATCTAATATTACAAAATATCTACCATCTTCATTCTTAATGCATCTAACCAAATTAAAAAATTGAGATATAATCTCTTGTCTAGACTATTTTATATATCCTTGTAATTGATCATATTACTAGCTAAGGTAAGAATAAATAACTTCTACAATTTGGTTGTATAACCATGTAAATACTTAAATCGCCTTTCAAGAAAAAATAAGAAACATAGATTGAACTCTAACTTTGAGCTTTTGACTAACGAAATAAACAAAAGCAGAATAAAGGCTAAAACTGTGATCAGAATAAGTAGCAGCATTCAATGTTAACTGAAAGGTAAAAAATTTCAATAATCTTCAAAATGACATGTACTATTTATAGGAGGAAGGAAAACCATTTACTGTCTGTCAAAGATAATATCCGTTGCAGCCAATACAACAGATCACTTTCAGATTCCTTTAACCCCTCCAAGTGCAAAAAATCCTTGCAGTATCAAGACAAATCAGTGATAAGTAAATCACTCTATTCTCAAGCATGCTATAACATATTTTTAAATTTTCTTTGAAATGTAACAAGTTTCAATGAGATGAACATGCAAACACAATGAAATGTAATAAAAGTACATCATGGAATTTGCAAATGTAAGAAAATATAGTATGTCAAGGAACATGTGAGCTAAACTTTCATAAATAAGAAAGGAAGGATATGTTTACAGGACGCATTGAACATCATCATTTTACATCATTAAACTTCAATGCTAGTACCTATAATGGAATGAATTTTCTTTGACAATTTGCATACTTAACAATAGAATGGATTTTCATTATCGTTATAAACGTGTGTTTCTTATTAAGCTTTGGAATTTACTAGTAAACTATACATGATTCCAAGCTCAACAACTATCATGACCTTGCTACATGCACTGATATAAACATTAAAACAATAACAAGTACAATGCTGTATATAACACAAAAAGAAATTATCATACTTGAAGTAAATGTCTTAAGTAATTTGATATGGTCATTAAAGTCCAACATGGAAAGTAGACATAAAATTTGACACAAGTTAAGAACATTCACAACCAAGTTTATAATTCAGAAAACATATGAAAAATATGTCATTTGCAAGTGTGCCCTATACTTATGAAAAGATGTACCCTAAATAGATATATCATTAGTAAGCAAATACAACATTCTTATTACCTGGAATAGTCCAGTCTCAATTCCAATAATGTCAAGTACTTCATCATTAGCTAACTTGATCTTCTTCAAGAAATATTTTTTTGATTTTCCTGACAAAGCTGTAGTAGTATACCTACAAGTATGAAGAAATATGACTGAATAGTAAAATGTAGTTTGAATTCAAAACAATTACTTAAAACAAACAAACTGACCAGGGGATACTCGGGATGGGGAAATGCAAAGAGGCCTGCAAATGTACGAGACGATCAGTGACATAGTGAAAATGCAAACAAACAAGAGTCTTATTGAATTCTTACTCCTGATTCAGCGTGACAGTTTCAAAGTAACATGTATTTGCATATTTATACTACATTTAAGATTTTGCTGTGATAACATTACATTTTGCATGAGCGGATCATCCTCTCCTAGCTCACCAATGTTGACCACAAACTTTGCCTTAAAAAGCTCAATTATCTCACTCATCTGCAACAAGAACACAATTTGCAAAATCTGTCATTTAAGAGTTAGATAGACAGAGCAAGAAATAAGAGGCAGTATAAAATAAAATGAAACAAATAAAGTAAACCCATCCAAAATTAGAGTTGGATTTGCTGCAGACCCAAATTTTAAGGCACCCACTATTTCAGCCTTATGACCAGCCCTTAATCCTTATTGCCATTCTCCAGCTAGTTGAAATAGCCAACGTTAGGTTCGTGGTGGTCTTTACCTTTTATATCACAATTGTTACAATTGTCATACTTCCAGAGTTATCTGCAACTGTCAGCCTTCGGTTGAATGTAATCCTAACCAATATATTTGGCATTTTCCTCATCTTTTAGCCTGCCTTCACTACCACCAAAGGGTTTGGTGCAATCAATGTCTTTAGAACTATCAAATTAATTGCCTTCACGTCAAGTGCTACTATTACCCTCAATTTCACCATAACTGTTGCCCTTAGAGAGAAGATAGCCATCACCTTCAAATTTACCATGGTCATTATCTCCTTGGATGAGGACTTTCATAATTTTATTTTTGATATCGCCACCCATATATCTCATGAAGATGACGACCTCAGATAATTGTGGTATTAGGTGGGTGAACTTATCATGCTTAAATTTAACTAAATCTTTTAATATAATAAAATAAACAAAAAAAAATTTCCCCAACAAACAGTAATACTTAATTATAAATTAATATTAATTGTATTTTTAATTGAATAAATATGTTTTTTATTTTAAAAATTTTAAGAGAGAAGTTTTGATGAACTTGTCACCCCTTGATTTTTTATTTTGTCACCCCTCTCCGAAAATTTTGATTCCACCACTACTCTCAGCTTTCCCTCAGTTATATTGAGGTCTAATGCTACTATTATTGACATCAATAATATATTAAAATTTATAATCACCATCTAAGATTTCAGCATCTCACAAGTTCTCCTTTCTGAAGTGGACAAAAGCAATGATCCATGCTTGCTAAGACTAGATAACGCTAGCTAATGCATAGAACAAGGAATCTCTCATAAATGTCGACTCATTTACCATAAAATATTTTGCTTCATCTCCTAATCTATTTGTAACCATCTCATTCAGTTTTTTTTATCCATAGTAGAAGCATTGTTCACACTCAGTCAAATAGCACGATTGATCACTTCTCAACAAGTTATGATGACTGTACAAGTTGCTTTAACATTCACTCTATAGCCTAATTACATCACTCATAACATTTAATGTAGCTTTATTACCCACTCCTCAACTAATCACATCTATTACACTTCTTTGTATTGTTTATCGCTGGAGATAACCATATTGCTCACGTCTTTACAAATAGCAATGACATCCACTCAGTCGCTAGTGATGCCTATACCCTCTCATGCAACTTTATTCCCGAAGATAGCCTTGTTTCCAACACTACACCTACTAATAATAACATCCATACCTCAGCTCAACGCCTATATCTCTAGATATAGCTTTATCATTCGCCTTATGGTTGGTCACATAGATCACACTTCTTAATTCAATATTCTCTTATGCAAGCCATATCACTCACTTGTCTATGAATAACTTTAATGATCGCTCCTAAGTTGATCAAGCCATTGATGCCAGTCTGTTGTTAACATATGCCACCTACACAACCAACAAAACTTTATTATTAAATCACTCTTTGATAGTAATTTTTTAGATAACCAAGCACATAGATACCTTAGCAATAAGAAAATTGTAATAGTTTGAAGGATCTCTACCATTCATCCAAAAAGACGGTACAAGGTAAATCTTCTATCACAAGGAAACACCATTATTTTGCTAAAAAAAATAACTCGGACTTGCAACCTTGATGGAATTTCCACATTGACTATTTAAGATATAATCGCAGCCAATAAAAATTTGATCCAAATCATGATGCATTCCCAATCTTGACATGAGAGAGAGTTTTAAGTTAATATCATCATAGCAAATTCCTAAAAAAACAATCAAAGAAATTTTGTGAAGGAACGTTACAAAAAAAACTATATTAATCAAGATTACATCAAATCGACCCTGTGAGCATAATCATTTTGAGTACCCTAAAATAATTACCAAACAATGCAGGCAATTTTGAATGAGCAAAAATAAATGAATTTTCTACCAAAAAAAAAACTCCTAAATTTTTTCTCAAATTTTTTTTTTTTAAATTCTAAAGTATTGGAAGATAGTTCTAGAAAATTTGAGTGAATTTTGTTGAAGGATTATGTCCCAACAATTTTTAGAAATGATTTTTTGTTGAAAGTACATGCCACAATGATTTTCTTAAGCCATTGAAAAAAATTCAAATTAAAAAAAAGTAATTGAATTATTTAATAGACTCATATTTTGTCATACAAAAATTTATAAAAGGGCAAATTTTCAAGTGATCTTAAAAATTTATATTTTTAATGTTTTATATTTGTTCGAAAAATTCAAAACATAAAATAGTATTAGAACTTTAATCATTAGAATTCTAAGAAGAACAAGTTTTCAAAAATAAAATCAATAGTTTCATTTCAAAGAGGTTCAAGCAAATGCATTCCCATGAAAAAAAATCTACGCCGCAATCTTGCACATGCCATAAACAACACTACACTAGGGCTTATGTTGCAATCTTACTTGTGCCTTAATCATCTCCAAGCTTATGTTGCAATCTTGTTTGTGCCTTAATCATCTCCAATGATTTTAAAACAAAGTTTTTTTTTTGTATCAGAAATATCAGTGCATTGGATTAATATCATAATCTCATTTGAATCTTAACTGTCATTATCAAGAAATGTATAGTCTAATTTCACCATGTTTCTCTCATGCAATTTTAATTTCAAAGTCATTTATATTATTAAGAATTATAGATAAGATTTGGGCCAAAGTTGATTTTAATTGTACCTTTGATGGCTACCAAATTGAAGACTCCACTCACACCTAATTCTTTACTACTACCACTATATGTAACTCTATAAAAGGAGAAGAAATCAAAGGTTGTGTATTATGACTTATTCTTTATACAGCTAAGGGCCTAAGTATAAAAGTAGGTGTTAGAAAAGTGATCAGTGGAATTATTAGAGGTTGGTAGTTATTTAGGCCGATGCCTGCAAAAAGGATGTCTTTGTCGAGTAATCAGCAAAAATCAATAAGGGGTTGGAGTAGATAGTTAAAAATTGCAGATTTTCTCGAAAAAAGATGACTGATAGAAGAATGCAATAATTTTATCATTGTTGAGCATAATCATTGAAGAAATGAGCTCAAATTTGAATAGAGAATAAAAGAGAAAAGAAAAATAATAGTAAGATAAAATTTAGAAATTATTTGGGTGAGAAACTAGTTGCATCCCTTATTTGCCTCAAGGCTAGTGAATATTATTTTCATTGCGTGATCATGACCTCTTAATCATAAACCCAAAACATAGGTGGATCTCATTAAACAATGCAAACTCTTTAATCTTTTTTTTTTGTGTGTTCTCCTTGAAGAATATTTTTATGTTTCGTATGCGTTATTCG